GCAAAATACAAAATGCCGATTTTTGACGTTTCGTTAAATATCTCGGCATCTAGTGATCGTAGAAAGACGATCTAACCACCATTCGACTCGTCGTTATGAGACGATTCCAACGAGCTATGGAGAATCTTTCTAAGATCATTGGAAGCCAAGTTATTACGTGAAACGTAATATTTTTAGGTTTCGACAATTTCGACATGTCGAAACTATTTCGGCATTTCGGCATTTCGACAGGTTTTAGTTTCGACATTTCGACAATGGCCTGTAGAGTTTCGGCAGGCAACTTTAAACTTGAGTCAAAAAAAATAATGCAAATATATATGCCAATCTTACATCACGCAGCCTATTTATTTATTTACATATCATATGTGCATCGATTTCCTCACATAATGAAGAAGGTCAAAAATGTCACGATCAGAAAATTCTGATCATTCCCCGAGGAAACGGTTTTTGTCATACAGAATAATTTAAGAAAAAATTTTAATCTGTGGTTAATATCTGCGAACGCTATTATGTATATGAAATTGGCATATAAACATTTGCCTATCTATACTACTAAGCATAACTCATAATCGTTTTCCCAATCATTGATATTCTAGATCAATATGTACGAGAAATGCAGTAAAGCCCACCATTTTGTGATGCTGGTAATGTCCTCAGAAATTTGAAAAGAGTTCTGGATCAAATGTTATTATAGAAATACACTGCATACATATTTAAAAATTTAAAAATTGGGAACCAGAAACATGGGCAAACTTATTTTCCGGTAGAATATAAACGGTCAATAACATAATAAATATGACAATATGCAATGTATAGGCATTATTTTTATTATATAATATTCGTGTATTAAAAAATTTTACATTTATACAGTATAATAAGCATGTTAAAATTATTTAGCTTTTTTTTCATCCTCTATCCAATGATCGCCCTCCTTATGAAGAACTCTACTCGACACACATGCACGCTTTCCTCGAAAAGCAATTCCGCACTCAACCAATTTTGTAGTTTTTATGCCAGTGTGATATTTTCTCTCTACTATTTGTGCTAATGCCTCTTCAGATTTCTTCTGAAGCTAATGCTCTGTCTTATCTTCGTCTTCATCTCCATATTCATCATTGTCAATAATCTTTTTATTCTTCTTGTATACCTTGAACTCCATAATTATCAATATTGGATAGATTACATTTTCTGTAATTGGTACAATTTTAACATCAAAACGTCCTTCACCAGCTTCTCTATTTAACAATAACTCATAATTATGATACCGTACCGGTGATAATATGCCAATCATAAGAAAATGATATGATAAGTTACTATTTATAGTATCCAAATACGAAAGAGATTCCATTATCATCGTTGGAAGTTCCTCCTCAAATTTTGTGAGATTGCATTGCAAAAGCATCTCCAGCATTATATCTGGATTAGATGAAATTCTATTATTTAACCATTCTTTCCATTCTGTGAAAACCTTTATGTTTGGAATGCATAGATTCTTGTCTTCGTTCATTGTAAGATAGCCTTCATAGTAGAGTAAAGTCCATATCACACGAGGAGATAGTGTGTTATAATCAATGTCTTTCAAGATCTTTACATCAATCACATCTTTTTTGAGTAATGTTAACGTCTCTTTTTTAAAGTCTTTGGTTGAGTGCCAAAGTAATTTCTTGATAGTCGCAGTACCTCCTGTTATGTTTCAAAAAACCATATTATAAAACAATTCTGCTAGGAGCCAATTAATTACCTGTGTTCACCCAGTGCGCATCCAAAGTATTTGTGTCAATAAATTGATTTATTGACCATGGATTATACAGACAAATTCCATTTCCAGCCTTATATCCATCGTACCATTCTTTGACTTCATTCAACCGTTCTTTCTTATCGCAATATTGAAGAAGAATAGTCAGTGAATCCAAATTGGGTTGCATATTTATCAACATACATTGGAAACACATTCAAATTGTTAAGTTCTGACAAATATCCCGACTTAGCAATGCGAGACACACCAACGAGGAGGGTTTTCTCCAAATTTTTGTCATTGTCCTACATTGGTCAATCAGATCATTTTTAGGTTACACTTGCATGGATCTTACGAAAGACAGCTGAAATGTTTACCTTGAGGAGCGCTCCAAATAAAGAAGAAAAAAAACCACGAGCTTTTTCATAATATTGATATCGGTAAGCAATTTCCATAGGGTGATCGTATTCGTCAACTAGGACAATACACCTTCTTCTGTGGTAGGTTCTCAAGTATTTGGAAAGATGTTCAAGAGATTTTATTATGACCGCATGTTCAAAATTACCAGAAAGTATCTTATTAAATCGTAATTTCTCATAATTATCAAGAATATCATTAATATAGCCGTGCTCTTTATAAAGTGATGCCAACTCCTGACACAATAAAGCTTCCATTTTCAACCAAGTATCACAGACATCGAAACCCTGGAAAAGGAATGTAAAAAATAAACAGATCAATAAAACGGTTTGCAATGTACAGAAGCAAATAACGCTATACCTTGAGAGATAGGAAGATAACCAGATACTTGCAAAAGTGACTATCGAGTAGACATGATCTCTCCATAATTTTTGTATCTCTGAACAGTTCACGATAGTAGTTCTCATTGTCAGGATAGATGGGGATTGAAAAAAATTCTTTAAGCATTGTGAGATTTGTGGTTTTTCCAAATCGTCTTGGCCAAACGACAAGAGAAACATCTGAATTGGACTTAATGAATTCAGCGATTAGTGATGTTTTGTCAATAAAAGTACAACCTCCATTCACAATTCAGTTGAAGTGGTCCTTGCCAATGGGAATGCTTTTTCCTGTAAAGAGAGTAGCAGTTCTCTCTATGACAGTATCAAAAAAGAATTAGTCTCTGATATGAAAATTTCTTGGTAAGAATAGAGAAAAGTAAAATAGGGGTAAATATGCATACGCGTCATAATTCTTTGTTTTTTCAGTGAAGACTCCCACAGTGGTTCTAGAAGTAATGATTGATTAGAACGATTTTGTAAGTTATAAGCTACACCAATTCTTACCTTGTTTCTCTTTTTGTAATGCTTTGAATTTGTTGTAACCATCAAGCATTTCATTACGTTCTCTTTTCAAACGTTCATTTTCTTCGTATAACTCCCAATACGTAATATTATAAGTTCTTGAAAAGGACAATTGAAACAAATCAGATCTTGGTGACCGAAGGCGTTGAACTTGGGAAGTAATGAAGTGAGTTGGGAAAACGGTCCTACGAAAGACCTGGGTAATTTTTGAGAAAAACATTTGTACAGATACAAAAAAAAAATTGGAAATTTACCCTTATAATCCTTCGGCAAGAATTTTCCCATCTGCGCATTTCAGGTGATCGACCTCACATGACGAAGTTCTCTATGCTACTATTGCGAACCTAAGTTTATTGCTTGAAGTGTTACAATTGAGGTAATATTTATGAAGAACATCAGCAGTAAGTGAGCGCTAAACTAATTTGTTTCGATAACTTGAGAGAAGTAGGGATGGTATAGAAGCTAAGCTTTTCTTCGAGTCCAATGTTAACATATGCATGTTTGGCGAAAGTAAGGTTTATGTATTTTAATAAAAATTGATTAAATATTTTTCATTGAACACAGTTCTAATCATTTTCCTAATATCTCAATCTATGATAATTGTGTCATTCCATATGATATTGTCAGAGATGATAGAAGGATTTTTTCGTTAATTGAAATAATATAAGGAGACGTTAAATAAGTTTAGCCAGTTTATCTGCTTCATCATAGAGGGACATCCATGTTTTAATGAGATTGACTTCTTGTAATTACATGAGAAATTACTTTCCTAATAAGATAATTATTAATCTTGAGTTGTTGTGGTTGTCTCGGAGTAATCGTTGACTCTTTCAAACTATTAAAAGTGTTAATACAATTTAAAGAGTCTGTATAAATATTAAGTTTAGGACAGACTAGTAAGGCTAACTAGATTGCTAGTGCTTCTGCTTTCGTCAAGGAGCTCTAATCTAAACCCAATTTTGTAGTAAAGTCATCTGAACCTTCTGTATATATATTTATTATAGATAGATTATTAATAGCTACAGCAATATTTGAAAGTTGGTCAAAAAGTAAATACACATGATCTTAACTTACATATAAACGAATCACCTAATCCTTTCTTTGAATATCATAAATGTCTATGAAAATTTGAATTATATCCTTTTCAAGAAGGACTTAGAGAATTTATACGTCACATTATTAAATTAAAAACAATCAACAACCTTACTAAAAAAATCAATAAGATCATCAAACCACTAAATAGGAGACTTGGTGATCTACTTTTAAACAAAGTTAATAATAATTTGAATCATTTGAATATCAAGTATGATGATATGAGTGGATTAGAGAATCAATTAAACTTATGCTCTTTAAATGATATAGATGATGTTCTTTTAAATATCACTAGACTTTTCTTAGAATTTTTAATCGTTAAAGATTCTTTGGAACTTCTTTTAGATATGATAACAAGAAAAAAAAGAAATCTTCATCACTTATCAATATCAAATAATAATCATATAAAATTTCATGCTGCCTTAATTAAACTTCTAGAATCGCAACAATGTTTGAAAACTCTTGAAATTCCTGCTTTATGGACTTCCGAGAATTTATCTTTATTTCTTAATATTTTTCATAAAATTTCCCATTCTTTAATTTCATTAAAAATATCAAATAGTATTAAATGTGTTACTTTGTTTTCGTTAATAAATATTTTACATAATTTAAGAAAATTTGAATCACTTTCCCTCCATTTCCATAATGATGATGATTTCTTGAATTCTCCCATACCCTCCAGTAAAAGTTATAAACTTGAAGTTTTGATTTTTACTGAACCAGTTTTATTACACCCTCATATTGCTAACTATACACTGGTCAAAATAGTCCAAATCGGCCAAAATTCAGCCAGCCGATTTTAGGCTGATTTATGGTCTAATGCTGGTCGAACTTTAGCAGATTTTTTGGCTGCAATTCGCTGACACTAGCCTAAAGTTCAGCTTGAAATTTCAGCCAAAATTCAGTTAACATTCGGAACAATTTCAGATAGCAAATTTTGGTGAATAGTTTTCCGAATGTTACTTAATTTATATTGCAAATTTGTACTAAATTTATTTACTAATATTCAGCCACAACTCATTTTATTTAATATTCGCAATAAAATCACAAATTTATTTATAAATGCATATTACAAATAAGTATTGCTAATCTACAATTCCACAATCACATTATTCATGTATTCGTATATACTTACAAATCTTGATCTTTTGGAAACCCACCAAAACTATAAAAAAAAGAAAAGAACGGTTAGTAACCATTCCATAATATTAAAAAAAAGCAAAAAAACCCAAGATTCTACTTACGAATCTTTGGTTTTTTCTGTTTATCGGAATCCACTCAAGACACCAAACCTATAAAAAGAAAAAAAAAAGAGCAGTTATTAATAACCGTTCATAATAATATTAAAAAAAATAAAAAATAAACCAAGATTCGTACTCGTACTTACGAATCTTGGTTCCACTTTTTCTAAAGATCCCAAAACCTACAAAAAGAAAAGAACGGTTATTAGTAAACCGTTCGTAGTAATAAAAAATAAAAATAAAAAATAAAAAAAAGAACCAAGATTTGTACTTACTTACGAATCTTGGTTTTCCGTTATTCTTCAGAAGACCACTGAACTAAAAAAATAAAATAAGAACGGTTATCAGTAACCGTTCGTTAATATTATAAAAAAAAATAAAAATAAAACCAAGATTCATATTTACAAATCTTGGTTTTTTCCATTCTTCGGAAGACACTGACCTAAAAAAAAAGAAAAAGAACGGTTAGAAACCGTTCGTAATAATAAACAAAAATAAAAAATAAAGATTCATACTGAATCTTTAGTTTTTTCTATTCCTTGAAAAGATGAAAATCCACCCGAACCTATAAAAAAAAATCAAAGGAACGGTTAGTAACTGTTCCATAACATTAAAACAAAAGATTCGTAAGTATATTACTTACGAATCTTAAAGGTTCTCCTTTTTCCGTTCTTCGGAAGTCCACCCGAACCTATAAAAAAAGAAAAGAATGGTTATTAGTAACCGTTCATTAATAAAATTAAAAAAAAAATTATAAAGTAAAGATCTTTACCTTTGGGTTTTCGTTCTTCAGAAGCCCACCCGAATCTAAAAAATAAAGAAAAAAATGGTTATTAGTAACCGTTTGTAATAAAGAAAAAACAAAAAAAAAATTATAAAGTAAAGATTTGTACTTACGAATCTTTACCTTTGGGTTTTCATTCTTCAGAAGTCCACCCGAATCTAAAAAAAATAAAGAAAAAAACGGTTATTAGTAACCGCTGTCTCTTATACACATCTAGATGTGTATAAGAGACAGCTACTATTGCGAACCTAAGTTTATTGCTTGAAGTGTTACAATTGAGGTAATATTTATGAAGAACATCAGCAGTAAGTGAGCGCTAAACTAATTTGTTTCGATANAAAAAATAAAGAAAAAAACGGTTATTAGTAACCGTTCGTAATAAAGAAAAAACAAAAAAAAAATTATAAAGAAAAGATTCGTACTTACGAATTTTTATCTTTGGGTTTTCATTTTTCGGAAGCCCACCGCACCTAAAAAAATAAAGAAAAGAACGGTTATTAGTAACCATTCGTAATAAAGAAAAAAACAAAAAAAAGAAAAAAAAGTAAAGATTCGTACTTATGAATCTTTATCTTTGGGTTTTCGTTCTTCGGAAGCCCACCCGAACCTAAAAAATAAAGAAAGGAACGGTTATTAGTAACCGTTTATTAATAAAATTAAAAAAAACAAAAAAAATTAAAACCAAAATTACTTACGAATCTTGGTTTTTTTCGTTCTTCGGAACTCGGAAGCCTACCCGAGACGCTGAACCTATAAAAAATAAAAGAAAAAGAACGGTTAATAACCATTCATAATATTAAAAAAAAATAAACCAAGTTCCGAACTTACGAAACTTGGTTTTTCCATTCTTCGGAAGTCACCCGAATGGCCAAACCTAAAAAAAAAGAAAGAAAAAAGAACGGTTAGTAACCGTTCGTATTAAAAAAAATAAAATAAACTCCAAAGTATTCATACTTACGAATCTTTGGAGTTTCTGTACTTCGGAAGCCCACCCGAAAGCCAAACCTATAAAAAATAAGTAAAAAAAGTGAAAGGGGGAAGGGAAAGGAAGAAAAAGGGAAGGAAGGAAAAAGAGAACGAAGGAAGGGAAAGGGGAAGAAGGGGAAACAGGGAAGGAGAACGAAGGAAAGGAAAGGAGAGGGGAAGAAAAAAATTAAAAAAAGTTTAAAAAAGGATGATCCTTTTTTAAACTTTTAATACGCGTAATGCATAACACGTAACGTTTAATTAAATAATTCAATAAATCGACCATAAATCATATATGTCGAAATTTGGCCGATTTTTAATAATTTCCAAAATTTGGCCGAAATGTGTGACAGATCAGCCGATTTGTCACATGACCAAAAGTTTTTATTTCGACCAGTGATAGATTAGTTTTTGAAAGGATTAAAGCTATGTCTAATATAATCGTACCAGAAATTTATTCAAGATATAATAGATAGTTTCTTATATTTTCCTAATTATATATATTTATATATTTTCGTTCAGTATTTTATATATTTATGAGCGTAATTGCAATACTACGAAATGTTGAAATTTTAGTATAACTTCATGCGCAAAATCTTTTCTTTTCGTTAAATTTTTTCCAAAAATAAATAAAAAAAGCATTTGATTTTCATTTATGAAATGATCAACTTGTCAAATACGTAACAATCGTAACATAAATAACTCCATGACATAATTAATGATAATTGAATTGTGGAACTTGTGGAATCTAGATTTAGCTTGGTAAGGAATTTGGACTTCTAGGATCATTTGATAATTCTTACACTAAATACTGTGTGATCGTTGAGATCCCCCAATTCCCCCTGTCATCAATTTACAAGGTTGCCACATCGAACGGGCATTCTCATGGTCGAACGAACGAATGAGCGAACAAACAAACAAACAAACAAACAATTAAACGAGCGAGTAATTAATTAACAACATGATTATCAACGACATACGACAACACATACAACATATAACGACAACATTCTTGGTTCATAAAATAAAATAAATAGCGTTAGTATTACAAGACGTTGGATGACATAAAATAAATTTACTTCTCTGAATTTTCCCCAAATTATATCCACTTTTATCCTTAATTTCGAACTGAGATAGCTCTCGCTACGAATTATTACTTCTCAAAACATATATTTAATTCTTCTCAAATTTTCATTAATTAAAATTAATTAATCGAACATTAATTAAAGTTTAGGGCGAACCTATTACCTTTAATTAACATTAAACTTCATTAACAAATAATAAAATGAAACTTATATTTTATTGAGTTCTGTGGATGAGAACTAAGGAATTACCTTGAATTCCGCTCTCTATATATACAATTTTTATACTACTTTCTATTCTATCTATATACTATCTTTTATGTTCTATTTACATATTATCTATGAAATATCTTTCTAATATACTATCTATATTTTAAATACGCTATCTTTTAATATGCTATCTTTTAATATGCTATCTTTTTATATATGTTCTTTTTAATATATTATCTTTTACGTTCCATCTTTATACTATCTTTTTATATTATCTTTTACATTATTTTGTGTTCTTTAATCTTTCTGACATTATTTTATATGTTCTTTTAATTCGCTTTATGTGTTTTGCTTATAATCTATCTTTTGTGGCTTATAATTATTCTTTCTTATCGTTCTTATTGTTAAAGATTGCTAAGCCGCAATTGATCGACTCTAATTATCCTATTGGTTCTTTGTCAATTATTTGATGAATATTACGTCATGTAGATCATTACTCTTCCTAAATGTTTATCAACATTATAGATATCACTTAGTTTATATATCACTAAGAATTTGAGTTCATAAAAATTATGGGATTCCCATTACTCTTCCTAAATGTTTATCCTTTTCGGCTAATTATTTATCCATCTACGCCAATTC